AAGGAGAATGGAACAATGTCTTTCAGGCTGATTTTGATGGGAACTCAAGTTTAATAGCAGTGTCAGTACGTGAGCATCTCCTCGTCAGCTGTATTTAACTTGAACTCCTTGTCTTGTCTACGAAAAGGAAGTTCCCTGCACTATCTGAGTCTCCTTGTCACGAATGATATTCCTCTATGCAAAGAGTGTCAAAGGGAGAAGCCTAGATGTTCGATAATAACCAGCAACCAGGGCCAAGTGTTTTCAGATACCCTTCGTTGAGGAGGGGAAGGGTATTTTTTCAGGCAGTGGACTTGAGATTTGATAAAAAGGAAAAATGCACTGCTTTTTTGTGACTAAAAAAGGGGCAACCCAGAGCACCAAGGACAGCGAGAGTGAGAGTAGAGGAAGCCAGAAAGTTTCATCCCTTGATACCATCTGCTTTCTCTCCCAGTGTGCCACCCTCCAAAGCGTTGCTCACCGTGCAGGAACTACTCTCCCTGCCATAGGAGTTGTGTGAGCTTCTTCACACCTGGTGTGTGTGTGTGTGTGTGTGTGTGTGTGTGTATCCCCATGCCCGTGGCTGGGCATCTCCATGGCTGGGTGGTGTATGTGTGCATGTCTCCATGTAGACATACACAGGGTATGATGCTGTGCCCTCTTAACCTGTGACAGGTAGGCACCAGGGATGGGTCAACATTTTGGAACTGCAGGTATCCGAAGGTTGGGGCTGCAGTGAGACCGTGGTTTGTTGGTTAGTTTCTATTTTTAAATGCATCTTGCATCATCCATCACTGCACTGTTCCCAGCTGAACCAAGCAGCGAGCTTTGGGTTGTGGTTCAAGCGTGTCACGTCTCATTATCGTTTTGGAGGCTGAGGGCCCAATGCACTTTTGCTCAGAACTTGGGTTTTCAGCTGATGGCCTCACGTAGGAAATGTCAGGTGCTCTGTCTTCTCTGGCTGATGGGAGCAACAAGGCCGGGCACAGTTGGGTTGCTCCGGGCCATGGTGGTCTTCCTCTGTATACTTGGCTTCCCAGCTCCCCTGTAAAGTGGGGTGGCAGTGTATGTAGTGAAGCCCAGGTAGGTGGATGGGGAGCCCATGCCATCCGCTCCCAGGTGTTGGCTGATTCTTCTCCCTGGAGGCCTGCAGTGTGAGGCCCAGCCAGACACCTCTGTGACTGTGGGCTGTTGGCCAGGGAGCAATGCCTGCTCATCTGCTTTCCTGGCCTGGCCTGGGCCTTGCTGTGGTTATTTCAGCATCAACATGTGATTAGATTCCCCAGGGCATCCTGGGTTGCCCCAAGTGTGACTTGAAGATGTTTCTCTGGGGGTAGCAGGTGGCAGTGGTTGGTGCTGTGTTCCATGTCCTGTGGCTACAAACTCTGGTATCCCATCCTCAGTATGAGATGGTGTGTGTGTGTGTGGGGGGGGGGGTTGGGGGGGGGGTGTATGAAGACACAAATTTGGGGGCCCATGTCCCTGGGTATGAGATGGGTTTGCCTCAGTATCTGGGGTACCACAAGCATCCACCCTGCTTTGGGCATTCTGTGGCAGCCCCTGCCTTGATTAAGGAGAGCCTGTGTGTGCCGAGCCTGGGACCAGCATTTCCAGGTAGAGGCTCTTGACCCGGGCTCCAAGATTGTTGTGTGCGTCTTCTTTAAAAAGAATACAGGAGGTAGGGTGTTTGCCTTGCACGCGGCTGACCCAGGTTTGATTCTCAGCATCCCATATGGTCCCCTGAGCACCGCCAGGGATAATTCCTGAGTACAAAGCAGGGAGTAACCCCTGTGCATCGCCAGGTGTGACCCAAAAAGCAAAGAAAAAAAATGCTGGACTCTGACCGGGAGTGGGGGCCGTGAATCGTGAGTCCCCCTCCACTGTCCAGATTTTATGGGACCACTGTTTATGAGGATCTGCCAGCAGCAGTGTTTTGGGAATGGCACATTTCCTCCTCCAACACAGCTCTTGTTTCTCCAGAGGTGTGGGATGAGCTCCGTGTCCTGCCCACCAGCACCCTCAGGCAGATGCCCAGTTGCCCAAGCTGCTGTGTTGCTCTGGTCTCTTCCCTTTTTGTGTCTTGTCTGTCCCTTCCTGGAGTAGAAGCCCTTTGAAAGGAGCTTTGTCCTGCTTCTTGGGACAGGAAGGGCTCCTGTGGCTGAGCCCGTCATATTCTGGCGAGTGGATGAGTGGTACAGCCCCCCTAGATCCACGGCCTGACATTGCCCAGGCCCTGAGGTGGGCCCGCGAGATGAAAGTTTCCTTCACAGGCCTGGACCAAGGAGCTAGCTCAGTGGTGCAGCCTGAGCTTCACATGGATGAAACCTTGGGCTTGGTCCAAAAGAAAATAAATAGTCAGCCAACAGGATGGCGGGTTCCTATTCTTAGGGCCCTGGATCTTGCTTGTATTATATCTTTGTGTGGGCAAAGGAGGTAACTGGAATACAGAGTTTGCACTCAGAAGCACGTGGGGTTTTTGTGAAATCTCCTTTGTCCAGATGAACCATTGTGATAGAAATCTTTATAAAGTATTCATGTGGTATAGACCATTGGTTCCCAGACTTACTTGGCCTTCTGCCCCCGTTTTGGAAAACAACTCAGCATCCTCCTGAAAATTTCAGCCTTCTTTAGGCAAACAAACTCAAGTGTCCCCCATTGCATTGGAGAAAGGGACCACCCACCCCCACCCCACCTCCACTCTGGATTCTTTCAAGGTCCCCCGGGGAGGGAGATGGTATTAGTATCCTGTTTGGGCAAACACTGGTATAAATGGAACCAGCATTATCCACCTCTGTGAAGTGGCGCTTTTCACCGAAAGTGCAAAGGACCAAGAGTGGATGAGAGTTGAGCAGGCAGTGTTTGAGAGGGGGGCACAGCCAAAGGGCTCACCCATGCGGGGCCTGGTAGGGCATCCTTGCCCCCACTCCCCCAGCACCGTGAGGGCTTCCTCACTGCACCCATGTGAGATTGCGGGCACAGGGGGCACAGGTTACACAGAAATGATAGCATCCTGCTACTGTGCTCACCAGCCCTGCCAGCTGTCCATTAGGGTGCTGTGTGGGCTGGCGCAGCTGTTAGAACCTAGGGGGTCGGCATCCTGCACTGACCGGCTGACCTGTGGGTGTGCTCCACACTGCCCCACCTGCTGTCAAGGGGTGGCCAGCCAAGTCCTCACACCTGAGACAGGAGTGCTGTGTCATTCATGAGGGTCTACTGATCTGCTAGCCAACACCTCCTGCACCCCCGCTTCCTTTGTGTGTGAGATTATGGAGAACTTTGGGGTGACCTCCCTTGTGATGTCACTTGTATGTGGCCCACAGCCACTGTCCTTCCCCCGGAACTCCAGCGGGATGGTGGTTGCAGTACAGATTCCTCCCTCTGCTGCTCTGGAATATGACATGGGTGGGGTGTAAGCACTCAGGGGTCAATCTGCGGCCACGGCACCCCCCTGAGGGGGCTCTGACTGACCCTGGCTCTGGCTCTGGCTCTGGTGAGGCTGACTGGGGTGACCGGCTGGCAGGTGGTTGCCGACCTTGATGCTGTCACTTCGCCAAGCCCCCCACACACTTTCTTCATTTTAGTAAGTCGCGGTTTTTATTTTGAATAAGCCTCTCTTTCGATCTATTAATATTAGTCTACACTAAAATTAACTTTTCCCCTAGGTTCATCTCACACAGAAGCAGCAAAGTAATTTTGAAAGTTAAATCAAAACAAAACAATCTTGTGTGTAGGGCAGATAAAAATCACAGACTGTGGTTTCGGAGTGCCTCTACAGGAATCGCTTACATAAAGCCCATTTCCTCCCGTCTGGTCATGGAAGGAGAAAGGGAAATGCCCAACCTTATCACGGACCGGCTGTCAAACCAGCGCTAGGGCGCTTGTGTAAACAGTCGTGAGCTGGGTGCTCCCGTGGCAGCTGGTGGGTGTGACAGGAGACACTCATTCTCAGCTGACTCGTGGTTCCTTGGGGTGCGCCCATTTTAAAAATAAAGTGGCATGTCAACCATGTCATCCTCCTGTCCCCGAACGAGAAGGAGATTTGTGGAATGCTACAGTTCTCTGGTGTGGGTTGGTGGCTGGTTGGGTGATGCACACGTTGAGTTTCAAATGTGCAAGCTTGCCCCTGTCCCATAGGACTTGAAGCACTGGTTTACCTCTCACCCTTAACGCACCTGGGGGCCCTCTGGAGGCCTGAAGACCTCTTGGGGACCATTCAGTTGTGCAGCATTTTCCCAGTATGTCGTTGTGAACTGACCTTGCCTGTGCTGAACTCAGAACACAATCAGACCGGGCACTGTTTCTCCCACACTACACACCTGCCCGCCAACAGTCCGTGGGCCTGGTGGCACAGGTGGTATATCCAAAACCCACTTTATTTAGCTGCTTAGGGCAAATTACTCCAAATCACGGGTTTCTGCAGTAAATTATAGCTACCCGAAATTCACCTGTGGAGGAGTCCGAGACCAACTTGTCAGACGGTTGCTTGTGGTGTCTTCTGAGCTGGTTCTTCCTTCTGCCTCTTTGCACAGGACCCATAGTTCGGGGTAGCATCGTCTCAGCAGCTTCACGGACCAGGTGCCTTGTCCGTGTTCCTTCCAGACTTGAAGGGCACTTACTGCTTGGGGGCCTCATGGCCTGATGTCAGTCCCCTATAAATAAAAAAAAAAGTAAGACATGATTTTCTAGGAGGGACCAACCAGTCTTGGGAAACACACTGCAAACTGTCCACATATTCTTTGTCTCCACGCATCGATGTCTCTGTTAAGAAAATGATGTGGTGAGGCTGCTCTGTGCAGGCGGCAGCTTTCCTTCATGGGACTGGGTGTTGGGGAGGGCGAGGTGGGGGGGGAGGCTGCCGGAAAGGACTGATCTCGGGAGAATCGGTGCTTTGGGGACAGGAGCTCCTACCGTAACTGTTCAGAGGGGCTTGTCCATCATCTTAGTCAGTGCATTCCCCCCCCCCCCTTTCCCCCCAATGACTCAGAATGAAACACTCAGGAAGCTTCCTTTTCTTGTTCCAGGTCTTTCTGAATAATTACCAAGCAGCTGAGGCCCATCCCCACATGGTTCTCTTACGACTATTGCGTTACATCATCCGCCTGGTGCGGAGAATGCAGTGACGGAGGACTTCCTGCAGAGACACGATGGGTGCAGACACTTCGCTTGTTCACACCTCTGAGCCCCTGCAAGGTTCTCTCCGTGCGGTGCTGCCTGTCCAGAGAGGAGAAAGCAGGGCAGCGAGTGGCCGCCAGCTCCCCCGCAGACTCGCAGCTGCATGTGGACCTGGCCACATGCTCATCACCACCCGGCAGGATTTTGGATGGAAGCTTGTTGTGAATGTAAATGAGGGAAGGATTTAAAAAAAAAAATGTACAAACCATGGTTCTTTGGAGTAGGATTTTATGCAAGAGTGGTGTTTACATGCAGTGTGGGTTTTTCTTTTTTTTTTTTTCCAACCTCCTTTAATAACAGGTTTTTCAGAAAGGAAATGGAAACTTTTTAAACCAACTTGTGAATGATTTTTGTACTAAAATTTTTAAAGAACCTGTTGCCTACTCTCAGAGGATGATGTAAACTCTGTAGTGAAAACTGAGCCAGCTAACTTATAAAGCTGCCTTGGTTGATTTTTAGGAATTACTGTACAGATTTTTTAAACGGGAGGGGTGTGGTATGGCCCCTCCCCTCCCATTGATTCTAACCTTTTTAAAAAAATCACTATTATTAATACCAAAAAAAAAGTCCTTAGGGAATAGAACTGATTGAGGGGGCAAAGGGTCTGTTACCCTGTATTGATAAGCCACTCCTGTTTTGTAAATATTTACTTACCTCCTTAAACCATTAGCATCTGTGGCAAAGTTGCAGACTCTCTTCTCAGTGAGTTCTCTCCTCCAGCCCGTTGGGACACCACAATGCTCAGATCCAGCGCACCACCGTCTCGCCCTGAAAGGTGACAGGACAGGGACCGGGGCTCTGCTTCTGCCTTTATTACACTCAGCCGGCATTTGCTGGTAGCTCCGTGGTACAGGTTTCCATTTGGCCTGGAGGGGCTTGTCCTCTAGAAGTCTTCTGAAGAGGAAAAAGCGGGAATGACACCGAGTAGGATGCCCCTTTGCACTGGGTATTTCTGGTTTCATAGGCTGTGCCCCAGGCCAGAGGACCCTGCTGGTCTCCAGGCCCCTCATCGCTGAGCTTGGGCTTGGGAATCTGAGCTTCAGCCCTTATACATGGCCCTAGGTGTGGTGGGGCTTTGGACAGCTGTTTCCTGGGCATTCCTGGCTGTTCACCCAGTCAGTGGTGCTGGGGCAGGACACCTGGCTCCTTCTCCATTGTATCCCCTTTGCAGCCTCTTCTGCTTTTAGCCTCACCATTAGATGCTCTGTTGGGCACAAGTCCAAAAGGGTTCCTCCAGCTTCAAGATGTGTCTTAGGTTGTTCCGTTTCCCTCTGGGTTGGAACAGTTGGGTTTTGTCCAGGGGTTACCCCACCACCCCCACCCTTGTGTAGGGGCATGTGCTCATCCTCCACACCTCCCCCTTAGGATGGCAGCCACCAGTTGGTCCGTGATTTCAAAGGCAGTGAGACATCCAAGGGAGACTCAAAGGAGCATATTAGGGCATGGGGAAAGGGGAGGGGATGCCATTCTGTGAACCCTGTAACTTGCCGTTTTCAAACCTCAGCTCGTCCATCCACTTTTCTAAAAGAAATCCATGAGTTTTTTTTCTTTTTTTTAGCAGGTCAAGAGTGCCAACAACTATTGTATTTGCTTTTGGCCCACCGTGGACCAGTGTTGTCTCATGATTAAATTAATGGAAAATTCCATTTATTTGAATCTTCATGATTTTATAAGTATATATATATACATATATGTATATTGCATATACACCTTTTTTCCCTCTAGATATATTGAGATATTTGATCCAAATATTCTTCCTTTTCCCAAACATTCACCCCTGCCCCACAAATACCTTCATGGAGTCTTGAAGATTTTTAAAGCTCCATTGAGTCTCCACTTATGTTCCCGATATATCTTGAACCCCAAGAGGTGTGGGGTCAGACAGTCTGCACACCTGTTGGGTGGTGGTAGAGCAGCAGCCATGGACTTGCTGGACATGAACATACACACACACACACACACACACCAAAGATGTATTTGGTTCTGGGCCCCTCCCCTCCCAGAATCCCCGTCCTCATGTACCCAGTCTCTCTGACTGGAGCACTTTACTCTGCTTCTTTAATACTGCGGCTCCCAGGCCGTGGAAGCAGCTGACTAGGAAAGACAAGATGGGACTGTAGAAGTATTAGAGGAGATGGGATTGTCGAAGCTGCACCAGGACTGAGAGATAACTGGATGTCTCTGTACTGTATGTGTCTGTTGACCCCCACGCCTTCCTGCAGAAAGCATGCCCACGGCGGTGTGCCTTCCACTTTTGATCTTGTTCGTGTTTTTGTAGATGAAACTAACTAGATCCCTTTTTGAAAATGTCATGCGGGTTTGTGCCTTGGACCACCTCTTCTCACATGAGGTTTGTTGAAAGTGTCCTGTGTCTTATCACAGAAATGCAATAAACTCAAACGAAGAAACTGCATGAATGATTCTTCCAATGACCAGTTCTCCTGACCAGAAAATGAATTTATGAAGAATTTTTTGTTTTTGTGGTAGGGAAATCTGGTTAAAAAATGTATTTCCTTCCGATTTGAAAAAAAAAAAAGTACCTGGTAGATTATACAGTTTTCTCTCCTGTCCTTCCTTCTGAGTGTTGTATATATTTTGACTATTTATTAGATTAGGTCATATTTTACTTATCAACTGAGCCAAATGTCTGTGTGCAATTGTGTTTCCTTTACCTTTCTTGTAAAATTTTGTACAGCATAAATGAGTAAAAAAAAAAAAATCACTGTTTTTCTAAACTTTTTCAGAATCGAGGATTGTAAATATTGTAGATTTTTTTTTTAGTGTAATGTGCCCTACTGTTTCATAATGCTGTAACTTGCAGAAATATTGTATATTTATTTCCTGCTTATTTAATGTCTTAAGTTCTGGAAAGTGTTGACACCCAGCCTGTGGTCCTGTTAATCGCTTTTCCTCTGAGGTGGTGACTGGTCTATTCCCCATAGGGTCATTTTCTGGTCAAATGGGTTTAAATTCTTGGGCTTTGGTGTCCTTGAGATGAAGCTTGTGTTTCGGAACCAGTGAGAAACTCAGTCTGGCAACCTACAAAATTTGACTCCAAGAAAAAAGCCAGTGACTTTCTATTTGTTCCAAAGCAGCTAAGCTTCTTGTAGAGGTGAAAGCTGTTTACTGCAGACCACAACAAAAATGTATCATTGGTGACTTGGGAAAGGTTTTCCCCTGAAAAGTTACCCATGACAGCTCTGTGTTGAGAGAAATAAAAAGGGGCCCTTTCTGGAGGTGCTACAGTGGGAAGATGGGGGTCAGGGGCTGCCCTTACCTGGGGAGCGCCAGCAGGAAGACCTCATACCACTAACCTCGTGAGGAATTGTCCTTCCACCACTGGCTACAGCTTTCTGTGTTGGAGACACGGACATCTGCAGAAGCTGCCTGTCTGGCCCCTGCAGCCCCAAGCCATTCACTCCCTGTCCCATCAGCTTGCTTCTTAAAGGTTATTGGCTTCTCCTTCGCCTTTGAGAGAGGTCATGGGGGGCCCCCACTGAACTGGGTGTGAAGATGTGAAAGATCTTGGAAGCTTTAGCCAAGACTTCCTAGTGGTTCCCTGGACGTGGTTCTGTCATCTCTGCTGATTTAGCCTGGTGCCTATGTGTGTCTGTTCTGTGGCCACATGTGACGCTAAACCAGTTGGGGTGACGCCTGCTTCACTTGAGAAGCGTTGTTGCCTATAGGAAGACGCCTCAGCTCCCAGCTAAGTAACTTGACTACTTTTATTTGGGAATTTCAGACTTTTAGACGCTCACCAACGTTTTATGTCCAGGTTCTGTGACCACTAGTTACTGTATCAGAACTCATCAGGTACACATTTATAAATAGCACTGATCTGTCTTTGTATACTGATTCATCACTAACTTGTTTCCTAGGACCCAGCATATGTAGCATTTGTATTGCAATTTCCCTGGCTTACTTGTGTTTTGCACTGATGAAATTTGACAGGGTAATTGCCACTTTACTTGTGCAATACTGCTGTACATAACTGCAGATTTTTTTAAGAAATTTGATCTTTTATGTTCTTAATGAATTTTATATAAATAAAACTTTCAACTAGTGTTTGGTGAGCTGGGTCATTTTTTCACAAGATGTTGACGAAACTGCTGAAATTTGGTGACTCAGTATCTGTTCACACATCTCGTCTGTCCTTGACCATTTACTGTGCCTCCTCTGTGTGGATATCATGTATGCTAACCAGAAGGCAATTCTGTGTTGTGGGATTAAATGCAAACCACTCTTCAAAGTTTTGGAGTGATTGAACCGAAATGATGGTATAGCGGGTAGGGCACTTCCCTTTCACATGGCCAGCCAGGATTTGATCCCCGGCCCCCATATGGTCATCCAATCCCTGTAGTAGGTGACCCCTGAATGCAGAAACAGCAGTAAGCTAAGCCTTGAGCACAGCCATCATGCCCTTTCCAGTACCACCCCCCCCCCCCCCCCCCCACACACACACACACAAAAAAGACTAGAGTTTTGGAGTGATGGGTAAGACACATTAGAGTTTTCTGCCCACAGACATGATGGGAGGTGGGAGTGGGAGACTGTCTTCTCTCAACTGTATTGATAAAGTGATCGTCCCTGATTCCCTGCCCTCTGAACTTGGAGGTTGGAGGGAGAAACAGAAGATGGGAAGTCAAGAGTCTGATTAAACTTGTCGGATTTTCCCCAAGCCTAGAGAACCACCAGCTAGGGCCAGAGTACCATAGGGAAGTTACCCACTCCTTACTGTAGGCAGCACATGGTCAGGGATCAAAGAGAAACCAAAACGATTTAGGGAAGCTTGTTCTAAAACCCTAAGTAAATCAGCCACTTCTATTTGGAAGTGCTCGGGAAGTGAAGCCAGGGACTGAGCTTTGTTTTAAATGGAAAATCTGTTCATGCAAATCAAGTTATTCTGGCCCCACCTTGCTTCCTTTTCTGCTAAGCATAATTGGAAAACCACATGACGATGATCAGGAATGTCCTTCATATGGCTGAGCAGGATTCTAGTGCAGGAACTCCTGCATCAACTCTACCTATTGCCTTATCAATGAGCCAGTGAGCATCTGAGCTCATACTAACTCAGAGCAAAAGTAAATGAGAAACAGCTTTGAATATTTTTGCTCACTTCTGTTTATAAGCTTGTTTTATTCCAGTGCAGATCTTTTAACCGCTTATGGGAATTGCCACTTTAGAACTCATTTATAACCTTACATGGATATTTGAGTTTCATATCTTTTTCCTGCCAAATTTTTTAATCTATTTTTATATTTCCCTCTTAATTTTAAAATTTCAACCTACCTGGAATTTACATTTCAATAATATGCCACTTTTTTTTTCTTTTTGTGTCACACCTGGCAATGCACAGGGGTTACTCCTGACTCTGCACTCAGGAATTACTCCTGGCAGTGCTCAGTGCTCAGGGGACCATATGGGATGCTGAGAATCGAACTCGGGTCAGCCACCTGCAAGGCAAGCGCCCTACCCGCTGTGCT